GTCGGGTTCGAACCACGGACCTTCCGGTCAGTAAATTCGCGCTCTAACCACTTGAGCCATCTCGACCCCTTGGTGGTGAGAATGATAAACGTTTCCAATGCTACATAAAGCAGATTATTGCCATGCTTCTTCAGCGGAAATTCTGTGGATAACAAGGCCTCTTCTGTCAGAATCCAGCCTGATTAAGCCCGATACTCAAGTTATTCACCTCGTGTACATCCTTGGGGGAGCTCGAGATAGTTCACTGGTTAGATCGTGAACTTACTGACCGAAAGATCGGTGGTTCGAACCCGACCCCAGGCACTCAAATGATCTTGTCTAGGCTTGGGCAACCTGGCAGTATCCCAGCCTTCGTGCTTCCTTCGAGTGGCACGGCAGCTAGGCACCTAAAGCGTGTTACACGTGAACGTAGTTACGTCGGGCAGGAAGAATAAAGTGAGGCGAATGGCTTACAAGCTCAATTGCCCACCATCTGCAGATTGTGAACGGAACTTCCGAAAAAGTCCTTCACCCTCAGTAACGTGAGTATGCAGCCGTATGTACCGCTGGCTTGGGTACATGCTCCGTGTATTGGTTGACCCAATTCTCCGCCGAGCTTACAGAGCTGCCTAGATGACCAAATTTATCTAGCACGTCGATTGGCTCACTTGCAAGCATGGAATGTAGGTTTGGTCCCACCCAGTCTTATAGCAGCCGATGCCAAACCGTGCGGCAGAGTTATTTAGGTTATTTAAAATCATTTGCGTTTGGGAAGGATCTGAACCAAGTAGAGTAATATCGTCCGCAAATCAGGATTTGCGGAAATCTGCGTGACCTATGCGGAACTTTGTCAAAGCGATTTTTCGGTACTTTAACAGCCTGGAAGTCGAGTTCGCCGCTGAATCTGATCGGATTTGGTAAAGGGATAGCAATTACCTGCAGCCGTCGATGGAAAAGCACATATCTGAGATGGTCACACCAAAAGCAACCTTGAAGGTCAAGTTAACAGCTAACTGGGTAACCCGAAAATCGTCCAATTGGAAATTCTGGGGGCATAGTAACGGCAGATTGTGTGCAGTTGTTCGATTAGAACATATGAGTAGGAATCGATCAACATGGATCGCTAGGATGTTTAGAGCGGCTCCGGATTCGATACTTAAATGCCCGGAGGCGGGCCGATCCAAGTAATTAAATATCACATCGATTGGACGGATGTGTCGTGGAGAGGACGAAGGCGTGCTCTGATTGCTCAGAATGTTAGCCAATCAGAATCAAGCATTTGTGTCTTAGGAAGATTCAGGCGTGACCTTGTGGAAACTCTAAGATAACCCTATAAATAGATTGGTAATAACATTCCTTTGTCTTCACTAAAAGCTACCGTGTCTGGTGACATACCATAGTGAGCAGAGCACCAAGTCAAGTCGGTCGCAAGATACAACACACACACACAGAAACGTTAAGCTTGTCCGGGTTGGACGCCTGAAGTTTATACTGACAAAACTCCGGCACGATAAATCCTTTAGATATCCATTGCGTTCGACAAGATTTAGATCGTCGAATAGGTTATGCGCAAGATGGCGCAAACCAATTTTCTGTGCTAATTGTAACTCGCGTTTGCCTTGGCTAGCTCTAACGCAGCGCAATAACACAGCAATATCACAGCGCAATAACTGAAGAGGTTTAATCCTTCTGAAGGGTGAATTTGTCGTGACGTGAAGTAGAATGCTCAAACATTCGTCGTACAGCTGTAGCACCCTTTCGGTGCCTAGCTGCCATGCCACAGAAAGGAGGCACGAGGGCTGGGATACCGCCAGGTTTCCCAAGCCTAGACAAGGGAAGTCGAGTGGCAGAGGTGGGGTTCGAACCACAGACCTTCCGGTCAGTAAATTCGCTCCCTAACCGCCTGGTCCATCTCGCCCCACAAACATTCGTGGTCATGTTCTTACCTTTGCGATAATTTCTCGGGTTAATTAAACCCGAAAAATTCATCAGAAACAACTTACTGGCTCTTTTTTTTAAAAAAATATTACCACTAACCTGTTCATCATCCGTAGCCGGTTTGTCCACTTTGGTTTTCTTGGCCGCCGGTCCCTTGTCGTTCGTTTCCGCCGGTCGGGCACGTTTCAAATTCTCCCTAAAAATCGTAATGGAAACCTACAGTTAGACGTTGTAGAATGAAAAGAACGACCAACAAGGCATGTATACAGACTGAAAGTGGATAATAACCGGATTGTCTGATGCTTGGAAGGCTACCGCATCGTATATGGTTATCGAAAGTGTGTACTGCTATATTGGAAAATTCGTATTATGAGAGATTTTTTGGCGCGGACCGCTGTACTGTCGTTCGGTGCCCGGCTGCCGTGCCACCCGGAGGAAGCACGAGGGCTGGGATACTGCCAGGCTGCCCAAGCCAAGGCATGGGGAGTCGGGAGGCGGCAGAGGTCGGGTTCGAATCATGAACCTTCGCGCTCTAACCATTGAGCCATCTCGCACTGTCTTATTCACAGGGACAAACTAACGACGACTGGGTAAGATGGGGCGTCCTTCAGGTTGAGGGTACAACACTCACTTGGTGGCCTCTGTGTGGGCCAGAGTAACAGCATCCCGATCCACTTGCTTCAGTTTTTTAAAGCCTGCCAACCTGTAAGAGAAGCGGACGGATAACTTGATGAATACACTGAGCAAGCAGGTAGACACAATCAGTTAAACACATGAGCGCCGGAATTGCACAAAGACCCTCCTTGCTCAGAGTTCCAAGCAGTGAAGTGTCAGTTGAGTTCATTACTACCTGGTAGTGATCGTAATAATAATAATAGTAAATTACAGACGCAATACACTACTCATAAGGTTGCTGAAAATTCTTCGATAGCCCACGACCAGTTTCGCCCTTCTTGGAGCTCAGCACGCACATGCAATTTGGGTTCAAGTAGAACCTAAGGTTGACGGAATCTCGAGGACTGCGCCTACCTGATGGGCCCCAAGAAAGGCGGGACCGGTCGTGGGCTGTCGAAGAATTTTCAGCAACCTCATGAGTAGTGTGTTACATCCACAAATGTATCGCGATATCTCGAATATCGTACCAAATGAAACATGAGGCGACCTGGTGGAGCACATGCAGTTGCTTAGAAACAGCATAAACGAGAGATTCAGCTGGGTTCCAGGTGAGTCTCACACAAAACCGAATTAGTTCGTAAACGAGTGTATTTCACTCGGTTGTAACACTCGTCCGCTGCCTAGCTGTCATGCTACCCAAAGAAAGCACAAGACTAGATAGGAGCGGTCAAGATGCTTGGGGGTTGGGTTCGAAGCACGGACCTTCCGGTCAGTAATTTCGCGGATTAACCACTGAGATATCTAAATCTTAGTGGTCTGTGCAAATGGCTCAATTAGTGTGCGTGTTGCAGCGCGAGATAGTTTAAGTGGTTAGATCGTGAATTTACTGACCGGAAGGTCCATGGTTCGAACCCGACTCCTGCCTCCCCACTTCCCCTGTCTAGGCTTGGACAACCTGGCAGTATCCCATCCCTCGTGCTTCCTCCGGGTGGCACGGCAGCCGGGCACCGAAAGGATGTTACAGCTGAACGATTTTGTTTTGCAGCGCGTAGTCTTGGTTCAGTGCCTTGGACAAGACGCTTCTTAGAGCGATAAGATTAGCAGGAAGCCGGAGACCGCAAGTTGGGCGCCTATTCGTAACAAAGTGGATACCACTAGGTTTCGGACTTGCCACGCAGTTACGAAGCGCCGTATTCAGTAAGCTGACGAACACCAGCGAAACTATGAGGACTTTGACCAGACCAATCAATAGGGTGAGAAGATACTGACTATTGGGGTCGGAAGCCGGACAACAACCGTCTCGACTGGTTGGTACGGTTCCTGAACAGCGGTGCATACTATAGAGTGATGGATTTGCGTTATCACGTGTATCAACTTACCATTGCACCACTTGACTATCGCACTGGCTAACTCAACCAAGCTAATCCGTCGCTCCAGTCCCTTACAGGCTGATTAATCAACTCAATAGCCATAGGAATTACTGTGAGCCGGTTTCATACGAAGCCAAAAATGACGATACCCATGGGACGGCTCATCAATCTATGGTCATCAGCTATAATTCTGCGAAAAACGTCTGGATCGACCAAAAAATCGTTCAGCTGTAGAACCTTCCTGGTGCCTAACTGACATGTCACCCGAAGGTTGCATGAGGGCTAGGACACTGTCCGTTTGCCCAAGCATAGACAGAGGAAGCCCAGAGACAGACGTCGGGTTCGAACCACGGACCCTCCGGTCAGTAAATTCGCGTTTTAACCACTTGGGCCACCTGCATCGACCAAACGATGAAATAGCGAATAATTTTCGGTGTGAAATGAGATCTAGTACACGCAGTGGATGAGGTCGAATGCCTGGTGGAACAGACACAATAGTCGTCCTGGCAGTGAAGAAAATGGGGACACAGCCGGAACGCTTCATAAGCAAGTCATTGGTAGATGAATGAACCAGTTTACACGAAATGGGGACACAGCCGGAACGCTTCATTGGTAGATGAATGAACCAGTTTACACCGTCTATAAAAAGTGAGTCTCTCGGCATTGACCAACAGACTGGATTAGACAAACGGAACCGAGTGATAGACCGTAATACAAGGCGGTTTGGGGATAAAGTCGCACTGTCCTCTGTGATAGGGGTCACAGGAGCAGCTAGGCTGGAGTCTTCCAAGGACCAAGTAGTATGCATTAGGTCCGAAAAACTCAAATACTGCTAAATCAATGGTTGGTCACGACCGTCCGAAACTTATCAAAGGCTGACGGGAAAAAACCGAAGTGAATCCAAACACATCTGCTGAGCGCGAGAAACTTGAATCCATCTGGGCCTTAATAGACGAGCTCTCAGGTTTGACTAGCCACCTACCACCACACGATACGCAAGGTAAAGCGTAGGTTTTAGAAAGAATCCTTCAAGAAGGCCTCCCAAGCCAATTTTGTTCGGTCAGTACTCCCCAGTCCCTGGACAAAACGATACAACCCGCAACTACTCTATCGGGACGATACAACAACTACTCTATCGGGAAAACTTTTGAATCAGGGCAAATGGGATGAGCATTCATCTTTGAAACCCATCACAAGCGCTTACAAACATGCACCCACTTAACAAACAACTCGTTTCGACACTGGTAATTCCGTGTCGAATGTACTTTGCGACAACGGTATCGTTTAACCCTCACAGTGCATTCCTTGTGTCCCCGGAAACCTGTTACCGCACTGGGCGGAAAAGAGAAACCGAAGATCCGTCAGATTATCTGCAAAAAAGGTCAGAAGCTGCTCTGTATATGCAAATCGATGACGCAGCGAAAGGTGGAAGAAACTCACGTAGTGATATCCGCAGGGCAGTGGTTGCTGCGCAGAAAGCAGGACAAATGATAATCAACTGTGGACTCTTTGTCACCTTCATGAATCATGTGCCTTTCCTGAGAACAGAAGAACAGCTACCTGTAGGTGAACTGGAATGAAATAGCTGGTGACCGATTCATTAGTGAAGACTGTCTCAAAACCCTTAATGAGAATGTTCATAGATCATTGAGGGGAAGATGGCCAAAGTGGTTAGAGCGCGAATTTACTGGCCGAAAGGTCCGTGGTTCGAACCCGACCTCTGCCTCCCCACTTCCCCTGTCTAGGCTTGGGCAATCTGGCAGTATCCCAGCCCTCATGCAACCTTCGGGTGGCATGGCAGTTAGGCACCGAAAGGGTGCTACAGCTGAACGATTATTATCACAGACCATTGATAATTCTGCAGTCGGGATAGTTAGTAGAACAAGTACTACGACTGCTCAACTATCGATCGCGTTCACACACGTATCGCTGGCAAGTTTTTTCTCACTCGTGAAGCCCTACCCAAAAGAAAGCAATTAAAGACATGAGTGGAAGTCATTACTCACCGAATTTGGACTGCGGTGGTGGTGCGGAATTTCGGAGATTTGTGTGGGAAACAACCCGATGTACGCCTGAACGTATTTGTGCGAATGAGTCTGTAGACACGCTCAGTTTCACTCAATATACGTTGTAAGCTTTGGTTTACTGGTTGTTTCTCGCTACGATTGCTCAAACAAGTGACACAACTTAATATAATGGATCGGCTGTAGCATCCTTTCGGTGCCTAGCTGCCATGTCACCCGAAGGTTGCACGAGGGCTGGGATACTGCCACGCTGCCCAAGCCTAGACGGAAGAAGTCGATATGCAGAGGTCGGGTTCGAACTACTGACCTTCCGGTCAGTAAGCTCACGCCTTGACCACTATCTCGAGCTTAAACAAGTCTGATAAAGTGAGCATTGTGGGCTCGAGAGGATAACTAACCCGTTGAATACGACTAAGTGGGATTATCTTGTCCAGAAACTTTCCAAAAAATTGCTTTTCTGTGTTGAATGAGTGACTTTTAGAATCAAAACAACAGGCCAACAGATACTCCACGGCATAATAGCTAAGTTACGTGATGTCCGCCATCTCATGTCCTAACTTCAATGAGGATCTGACACAGGGTGTTGGTAGTACCCACTGGTGACGGACAGGTCTCATCACCTAGCGCTTCACATAGATCTTCAGTGGCTGACGATACGGTCATCCGATTGGAGGAGCATATCCAAAATAGAAGCAACCATGACCAGTTCAACGCAAACTGTAGGAAGACACATCCGGGAGAAGCATTCAAGAACGTCGCCCGCGAAAAGGTTGGCGAATAAAACTGTGAAATCCGAGCGTGCTCGGAATCATGAAGGTATTTTGCTGTCACTCAAGGCTTCAACGCCCCAATTCATCAAACAACCTGTTGGTGATTGAGCCCACATAAGAAATCAATCAGCCGATAAATTCATCTGAGCCAAACTCAGAATTTCCTCGTACTGTTGTATCCATTAACCTATAGTTTGGTCTATACGAAGACAATAAGTCGAAAATGCAGCAAAAACGGTGCCCTTTGAGTGAGAAATCTAATGGCCAACAAGACTAATGTCTAGTTTAAGCCTCATTGGACGCGTTTTGTTGAATAAATGACGCGTGAAATTATGGGATGCGATGGACCGGTAAGGATATTTTTAGCTTACATTACAATATGTTGGAATAGGAGGTCATTAGAAGGCCAATCTCGCCAAGCACTCCAAGTATATGGGCACGATATGACCTGCTAAACATCGCCCTGTCATTGGATCCACGTTTCATTTCCATTACTGTCCGACGGGGTTCAACAAAAAGTGATTTCTCCAACCCATAGTGACGACTCTAACTGTTGCAACAAGTTATTTGCCAACGACCCAACGAACCTGAGCACGGTAGCCCTCCGGATAACACATCATTCCCCAGAAGAAAATGGCTTTTGCGAACTTGCAAGCTTTCGTAGCATGCCTCACACAGAGAGCAGACGTGACTTACGAAAGGCACCCACCAGTTGTTTTGGCTACCACAAAAAAATGGCCACGTTTTTCATTCGGTGGCGAGTCCCATCAGTAAACTAGTCCAGAAAAAAACTGAGGAGAGGGGCGACAGAGCAAACGAAGTCGCGCTAGTGGTAAGGGGGAAAGCGAAAGCAACCATGCAAACTCAGTACGTGCTGTCGGTTGCACATTTGGTCAGTATCGATCCGAGAAAAGGAAACTTTCTCATTTCGACAAAGAGATGATGAGGCGGTCGACTAAATGGGGAAGAGGGGTTGAGTGCAACGTTGCCCATAACTAGGTTGGGATTCCATTGCTTGAGTTGTGTCTAGCTGTCAGGATATCGGTAGGCCAGGGGTAATAGCTTAATGGAACCTTCGTTACAGTTGACACAGAGCGTTTCTCGCGTATAATTCATACGTTAAAAAAAAGATATTATTTTTTACATCGTTCAGCTGTAGCACCCTTTCGGTAATGGAACCTTACAGTTGACACAGAGCGTTTCTCGCGTATAATTCATACGTTAAAAAAAAGATATTATTTTTTACATCGTTCAGCTGTAGGTAGCTTTCGGTGTCTAGCTGCCATGCCACCCGAAGGTTGCACGAGGGCTGGGACGCTGGAGGGTTGCCCAAGCCTAGACAGAGGAAATCGAGAGGCAGAGGTCGGGCTCGAACTACGGACCTTCGGGTCAGTGAATTCGCGCTCTAAACACTTGAGCCAGCTCGCTTTTCCCCAGATCGACTGTGTGTGAATTGGGGCACCGTCATAAATTTGCTTCAATTAATGAAGAGTACACTACCCACTCGGTATCTTAGGAGCCTCAGACTATCGTTGGAATCCGCTAGCTGAAGATGTGAGTTATGCGCAACCTTGGCTCACTGATTCGCTTTCCTATACCTGTTATCAGTTTCTGAGGAGTAATGCATCGCGTATTTCCATGCCAGCCAATCAACCACAGTTCGAATGGAACTCTGGTTTGTGACAATCCTCAAGCAACTATGGAGTGCAAAAGTTGTCTTTGGGTTCCGTTAGGTTGGCATTCGAAATATCGAAGCATTTCCCCCTCACTAGTTATGCTATAAATAGGACCAACTTATTGTAAGCCACTTGTACCGAGCTCGAAGTAGCTCAAGGATTAGGACACGAACTTACTGGCCGTGGTTCGAACCCAGCTCCTACATCTGGACCGCTGGGCAACACTCCAGCTAGGCACCGGAATGGTGTTACAACTGAACAGAGAAAAAGACCACTGTTAACACTCATATGCCTAGACTATCTCAGATTTATGGTGCAGCCTATCTTCGTATTTGAGCTTTCGTAACTTGATACGAAAACTAGTTC